TTTGTGGATTTTTGGTAACCCATACAATCTTGGTGCTGTTGCTGCGGTGCTAGCGAGTTGTTGTTTTTCTCTTATGTTTATGTATTTGCTTTTGTAAAGATCATCCACTATGTTATTGTTTTTCCTTTGTAGAGCGTTTGTTGGATCGGTTCTTATGCTTTTGTATGTGTTCTTGTCTCCCAGTAGGTCGGTAATTTTCTCTACGTATTCTGTTTTGTGCATTGCTACTGTTTTGTTTCCCTTGTCGGCGTCAGTTATAACGATGTTGCTTTTGCGCAATTTAAGAAATGTCTTGGTTTTGTTAAAGGCTTCCAAAATAAATTTCTCCGCTGAGTTATTTTTAATGTTACGCTTGAACAGGAGAATTCTATTGCTGAGTTTGTTTCTTGCTAGCTCTTTTTCATTTTCATTTTCTATAGATTGTATAAGTTGTTCCATCTCCGCAATGATGTGTACTGGTGCAAAGTTATGTTTTGTTTTTGGTAGTGTGAACTTTCTACCAAGGGAGAGCAGCCACTGAACTTCTTGGGGAAATAAAATATTAGTTTTGTTTATGAACCAGTTGTTATTGATGTTTATTCCCAACGTTCGTATTTTTTCTTGTTTCATTCTATCTGTTTTGGATGTTAGTACTGATTCCTTCTCCTTCGAAATCCTCTGACTTATTAAGTTTTGTTTTTGGATGAACGTTTTAAAATCCAATTCACTCAAAGTCGGTTTTAATTGTTGTTGTGCGTGGTGTAACAGATTTTTAGTTGTTCGGATGTCTATGTTTGTTTGTGTTATTTCCATGTTTAATATTTTCATGAGAAAAGTATGTTTAGTTTTGTTCATTTGTTGTTTTATTCTTTCGGATGTGGTGCTTATAATTATGTTTTTTACTGAATTCGCCAAGTGATTCGGAGTCAGTTCGTACCTTTTGCATTCGAATAAATTTTTTTTTTTTTAATTTAATTAATAATTAGTTGTTCTACCGTGCTTTTTATATGTAATTATGAATATATGTATATATGTTTATTTGTTCCTTTATTTAATATCATACATATATTTATATTTTTTGTAACAGATAATTAAATAAACACGCCCCTGAAGATGCTAAGAAGATAAGCGAAACGTTGGGCCGTAAGTGAAATAACCTCGGTTTATTTACACTAAATAAAAGAGATCAGACAAGACTATCACATATAATAAAATTAAGCTGAAAAAACTATTAGTAATTATTCGAAGACCTTCAAAATGAGGTTATTTATATATCACTTGAAATTAAATTTAATGGTTTTCAATAATGCAAACGAGCAAAATTACTAACAACTTGAATGCATTAAAATTTATTCATTAGAATTCTTTTCTTCTTTTTTTTATTGGCGCTGTAGCCGCCTAAGCGATTTTGGCCGAGTCCAAAACAGCACGCCAGTCATTTCTCTTCTGTGCTAACTGACGCCAATTGGAAAAGCCAAATGAACCCAAGTCCTTCTCCACCTGGTCTTTCCAACGCAGAGGAGGCCTTCCTCTTCCTCTGTTACCAGCATCGCGGCCCGCGTTGAATATTTTCAGAGCAGGAGCGTTTCTGTCCATTCGAGCGACATGGCCAAGCTAGCAGAGCCGCTGAGTTCTAATTCGCTACACTATGTCCATGTCGTTGTAAAGCTCATACAGCTCATCGTTAAATCGTCTGCGATATTCGCCCTCACCAACGCAGGCCTGTAAATCTTTCGCCGAATCCTCCTCTCGAAAACTCCAAGAACCGTCTCATCAGATGCTTTAACTGTCCATGCCTCCGCGCCATACACCGGCACAGGCATGATGAGACAGAGACGTTGCCCTTGTTTTTACCTATAATATCGATGTCGTCTTGTAAAGTACTGTGCCTGAGCGGTTCAGTTCTGCGGCTCTTATTATCTTCTCCAACATCAGGCTAAAGAAATCACACGAAAGCGAGTCCTCTTGTCTGAAACCTAGTTTGGTATCAAACGGCTCGGAGAGGTAGTTCCCTATTCTGACGGAGCTGGTGGTATTGCTCAACGTCATTTTAAACAGCCGTATTAGTTTCGCGGGGTTACCAAATTCAGACATCGCGGCATAAAGGCAACTTCTCTTCGTGCTGTCGAAAGCGGCTTTGAAATCGACAAATAGATGGTGTGTGTCGATCCTATTCTCGCGGGTCTTTTCCAAGATTTGGCGTATTGTGAATACCTGGTCTATGGTGGATTTGCCAGGTCTAAAGCCACACTGATAAGGCCCAATCAGTTCATTGACGGTGGGCTTCAGTCTTTCACACAATACACTCGATAAGACCTTATAACCTATGCTTAGAAGGCTGATTCCGTCGTAGTTGGCGCGTATGGCGTGAATTGGTTCAACATGCATTCGCATATGTGGATGATATCATAATTTGCACTTCGACGTTTGAAGAACACGTTAAGATATTGGCTATCGTTGCAAAACGTCTGGCTGGGGCCGGCTTAACTATCTCAACATCCAAATCGAATTTTTGTTGTAAACGATTGCGAATCCATCTCGTATTCGAGCGATTGTTGAATATGCAGGGCCCAAAACGGCAAAAGAAGTCAGACGGTTCATTGGTGCAGCAGGCTAGTACCGTAAATGTATTCCAAATTTTTCGGAGATCACAGCTCTCCTTTGTGAATTGTATAAAGGAAACCGAAAAGGACCCATTGAATGGAACACCGCTGCTGAACAAGCCTTTCTCAAACTCAAAGAGTGTTTAACTACCACTCCCGTTCTGACTATGGCCGATTATTCAGAACCATTCAAGGTTTACACCGATGCCTCGCTTATCGCAGAGGGAGCTGTTCTAGTACAAGAACATGATGGGAATGAACGTGTGGTTCATTATTTTTCTAAGAAATTCTCGAAAGCCGAACAAAATTACACAGCACCTGAACGGGAATGCCTAGCCGTTCTCTTAGCGGTCGAAAAGTTCCGTCCATATTTTGAGTATGGTGAATTGGTTGTGGTAAAGGACCATGCAGCTTTGCGCTGGCTACAAACTCTCAAAGACCCAACTGGCCGTTTATGTCGTTGAGCGATCCGATTATCACCATACGATCTCAAAATTATTCATAAACCAGGAAAACATTTGGACCTTCCTGACGCCTTATCTCGTTCTTTTGCTCTTCTCAACATCGTTCGTAGAAATCCAATTGACCTTCCGAGTAATTTT